TTTTGGGCCGCAACCCTTGGGCCCCTTTTTCTCCAAACTGGGACTTTTTAAGGTGGGTGGCACTAACCCCCCAAAAACCCCACCAGCCAGCAGGGGAATTTGGGGGATTAGAAGTCCACACATCTTAAAATGGCCAAGTTTGGACAACACTGGACCCAAGTGTTGCCCTCAAAAAGCAGCTTCTAAAAATCTTTGCAAAGGATGGCCGATAAACAGCAGGAAGCCAATCCTGGCAACTACTAAAGATGAAATGAAATCAGGATCCACGTTATCAGGACTATCCTTTTCTGGAGGCATTCTAAATGAGCTAGTATTGAGATGAATGAGCTGGTATTGTCATGTGTATTCAGGGTCTGAGAAATGTTGGAATACCGCTGACTAGATTACTGTCAAATAAATTGTATTATTCTTAATACAGTTTCTTTAGTTGTATTAAGCCTTAATCAGAAAACTAATGCTGTCAAGCCCAAATGAGAACTAATGTTAAAGGAACAATTTGTACATATTTGGGAGACAGGAAATTCTGTACATTAGTGTATGAAAATAAATTGTTACTGTTTGATGTGCGCACATGTAGACAGAAATAATAACCACAGACACTCCATAGCAACTTTTACATATATTTCTAATGTTATTCCAATCGTTCCTGGTTTTGTACTTTCAAACAGATTACAGAAGAAATGTCCACATTAATGACTTACCTTCTTAATTTTGACTTTTTCAACCTTTTCTTCTTTATCACACTTTTTAGCATTTCTGTTAAGCTCTTTGGCAGCAAATTTCAAATTGAAAAGATGCTCTGAATTTCAAGTTAAGAATAATGTACTGAAACAAGAACACGTCATCCCAATAGCAACCTGAAAAAGAGCTCTCTGAATGTTTAATATTTTTAAATTTAATATTTTTTTTTCTCTCATTATTCTCAGTGATGCTGGTATTTCAGTCCTGGATCAGTCAGCTCACTGCAAGCACAAATCCAAGTGAAGTTGTTGTAACCAGAAGATGAAGCTTCTCTTTCTATTTATCTTAACATATGCTTCAAAAGTTTGGGGTAACTAACATAAAGGAATAAAAATACAGATTTTAAGCAGTTTTTTAAAAAAACTAAATTGACATGCCCAATTCCAGGAATCTCTACCTTTTTCTCATCATTCCTGTTAACCGCACTCTCATCTCCCCTTCCCCCCAATATCCTACTAACTTGTGTATTTTGTAGGGAAGTCAAAGCCATTCTTTCTCACCATCTTCAAAACAGGATTGTCCATAAAAAAATAGTTGTATCTCGCCTTTCTGCACTGAGGATGTTTTACACATTTCCTACTGAAAACTGTTCCCAGTCTAGCTTGCAGCCCTCTTTCATTCAAGGATTAGTAAAGCTTCCACGTGTGGCTTCACAGCTGGGTCCTAAATTTGTGGCAGCCTTTAAAAACTAGGTCCAGCATCCTGAATGGGGTCTAGATGCTAAGTTACAGTAACAGCAATTACTGCTAGACTGACCAAATATTTTACTCTGAGCCCCCATTCTCAAGGGTTTTTTGGGGGAGGGGGACAGGGGTGAACCAAGTTGTCTTTTTGTTGCAAAGTAAAAAGAAATTACAATTAAAAGTAATTTAGTTAAATTGTAAAAAAAAATACAATTAATTTAGATGCCTCAGAAAGCATTAGCAGCCTTGATAACCTGTTCTTTTCCTCACTATTAAAATCTAGGACAGACAAGCTGCCCTTTACAAGGCCAATGTCTTTTAGTTTTGTCCTTTAAGAGCTAAACACAGCTTATTTTACAAACCTGAGGGGCAAAGCCTGTGAGATATTCTGATTTAAAGTAAACATGTTTTACACTCTGGGGTAAACATGTTTGAAATAACTACTATATGCTGGTCTCTGACTGTAATAAACTATTCTCTCTCAATATAGACATAGGCATATCTATTACATGCCATCTGTATTCCTGTGATGTATTGCTTTTATGCTATTGTCTTGGTTTTAAATTTTTGCTTGATTTTTATAAACCACCAAGAATCCCTGCAGGAAAAAAAAAAATCCTTTTGCTAGCTTAAATATCAGATTAATAAAAATAAAAACCAATTCTAGTTATTACAAGGCAGGCAATAAAATGAAAATACTCCTTAGATTTCTTTAAATATAGGTCAATTAAACCCACTAATGCATACCATAAAGAGGCTACTTTCATTCCAACTCTTTATTAGATATTACTGGCAGACAGAGAAAGAAAAATGTAATACTTTTAACATGTATAACAACTGAAAATTCCTTGACTGAAGCCATTATCTATGCATTTCATATAATCAGGTAAGCCCACCCTCAGCAGATATTTAAAGCTTAGGTCACCAAGAACAGAATTCTATCTTTTCCACTATTAGAATCATTAAGCTGAAATAACTCTCCATTGATTGGAAATACTGTTCACATACAGAAAGCTTGTGTTCTTTTCAGCCACCAAATCAAGGATCCAGTGAACTAGCTTCAGCTCTTTAACGTATGTATCACAAAACTCAAGACATTCACAACAGTAGGGCTATCAGATTTGGGCTGCAAACATTCATACAACCACTAGGTGATAGCAAGTAGATACAGATCGTTTTAACTTTTTTTTGTATACCATCTAATAATCATCTGGATTTCTGCAGCACACATCTGGTAGCTCTAATTAAGAATGGCAGGCAAAAGAAAAAATGGTTAGGACTACTCATCCTACTGATCTAAAGCAAGTATTAGAAAAAGAGAGACTTTATGACTAGGATTCACCTTTCCTACAGCTATCATCACGTGACTTATCTGAGAGCAAAAGGTGTAAACTCGGCTGTCAAGATGTGCAAACCAGGGCTTATGCCCTGTGCCATGCTCATGACAGCCCACCAGATGCACAGAAGTAAGATTTAGAATGGAGATAGCAGAGAAAACAACATTTGCATTCTTTTCTCGACTTTCTTAAATATATAACAAAAACAAAAGCAAACTGAATCAGCTGACAGAAACCAGAAACATCCAAGACGTGACACTGTGGTGTGTCATGTCGGACAGGAACAAAGAAAGACTAAGCCAGCTGATCAGGAAGCCCAGCTGCAAAAAACATCTTCAGCGCTTCAGCAGAGAAACTTTAGAGCGGGCTTATGTTCTCGTCAATCATAGCCATAACAAATCTGTAAACAGCTACTAGGAAACTGCAAAATGGAGATAGGGAAGAAAAAAAAAAAGGACGGTGTTTCAACATCCTAACAGATTTAGTGGGGTATACACTTTCATGGATGCCCAGCAGATGCCCAGAAGCACAGAAGCACAGAAGAATGTGAAGCTGGGAAATGTCATAAGTTATTTAGTTCTTAGTTCTTTACACTTAGTTATTCTGTTACAGACCTCCCTTTGCACCTGTCTGACACAACACAACTCTCTACAGAAAAGCCCCATTTTGCAGCTTTGGGGCTCCCCTAACTGGGCTGCTATGCTGTTGTATGTTTTTTAACCCCTGTTTTTGGATGTTGTTAAGCCCCCTTGAGTCAACCAGAGAAGGCAGCTATAACCAATTAAAATAAATTAAAATAAACAATGCACCCCGTCCGTTATCTCAATATGCCACTATCAGAACAACCCCAGAAAAGCTTTCAAGGGGATCATTACCGAGTCTGGCCCTCAGGTTTCCTCCACAACACCCCTATGTTGCCTGGGCATTATGGTAATTATAGTCTAACCCAGTGTTTCTGAAACTTGCCAACTGGCTGGCTGGGGAATTCTGGGAGTTGAAGTCAACCTGTCTTAAAGTTGCCAGGTGTGGGAAACTACTGGTCTAACCCTTCAAGAGACAAAGCAATGAGCGAGAAATGGGAATAACCCAACACTTTTGGGGATCCTTAGAATATTCCAGGGTTGTTCCAAGGAAGAAAAGAGGCGCAGATTTCTCCCTCGGGGGAAAAAGGGGAGATAAATATTCTCAATAAAGCCTCCACAATGGAAGACCCTGCCCGGGAGAGGAAGACGCCCTCGCCCCACCCCACAGGCCGCCCCCGCTATCACTCCAAGCCAGGAACACCAATAGAGACCGGCCTCTGAGCTCCGCCCACGAGAATCACCCCCCTCAGGGGCGCCGCCTGCTGTCGGGGTCCGCAACTAGCCACGCCCTCGTCCCATCAATCACGCCAGGGGGCGGGATTTGCTCGCCCCCACCACCAATCGAGGCCCGGCGCATTTTCCCGACGGGCGCCACCCAGGATACTCTCCATATTGGACATGATGGCGCTTCAGGTCCGGGCCTCGTCAAGCGACAGCGCAAAACAGGGCGAGACGTGTCCGTCCCGGATACCTGTTGGGTCTTCGTCTTTCTCTCAGCAACGCGCTTCCTGCTTCCGCCTCCGCCCGGCGAGCCTCACTCCCCGCCCCTTCCGTCGACATCACGTCACGCGGAGCTTGACGAGCAGAAGAGGAGGAAGGAGATGAAGGAAGCAGCGGTTGAGGGATCCGCAGGGGCGCATGCGCGCAATGGGAGCCAATGGGAGCGCCGTCTCCCGGAGCCACTGAGAGGGCCGCAACGGCGCGAGGTTCCTCCTCCCAGCCAATGGAGCTTCGCTTTTGGCCTGGAAATAATTTTTCACAGAGTGTAAAAGCACAACAGGGAACAGGAATGTTTGGACTTCTTTAAATTTCTTTCT